CCCAGCTAATTTTTTGTATTTTTAGTAGAGACGGGGTTTCACCATGTTGACCAGGATGGTCTCGATCTCTTGACCTCGTGATCCGCCCGCCTCGGCCTCCCAAAGTGCTGGGATTACAGGCTTGAGCCACCGCGCCCGGCCTGACAGTACTGCTTTTAAAGGGACAGTGTTAGGAACCTTGGAAGCACAGCCAACATGTGTGACATTGAAGAAGCCACTAACCAACTCCTAGATGTGAACCTTCATGAGAACAAGAGGTCTGTACAAGTGACAGAAAGTGGCCTCACAAGTGAATCTGAGCTTCTAGTCACTAATGGAGCCACTGTACCTACTGGCTTTGAACAAACAGCTGCAGATGAAGTGAGAGAGAAACTTGGGTCACCATACAAAATCAGCAGAGACTGTGGCAAGATATATTTTGTCATTTCACTGGAAAGTCTGGCACAGGTTCATTGTCTGAGATCAGTTGATAACTTATTTGTGGTGGTTCAGGAGTTCCAAGATTACCAGTTCAAAAAAACAAAGGAAGAAGTTCTGAAGGATTTTGAAGACTTGGCTGGAAAACTTCCATGGTCAAACCCCTTAAAAATGTGAAAAATTAATGACAGTTTTAAAAACAAAAATAAAAGCAGATGAGGTCAGGTAGCTACCTAGGTAGATCTCAAAGTCTTTTGTATGTCCTGCTAAGATATATGCATGTTAAAATGACCACACTGGCAACAAGAGAGGGAATGGATTGGAGGGAGAATGAGACTAAAGAAGTTGTGATTGCTAAGAAAAGAAATGAAATTTTGCAAGCAGAGAAAAATTAAAGATCTGAAGTACTAGGGCAGTAAGAATGGAAAGAAGGGGCCAGATTAGATACAAGTGTACAACTTCACTGGTTGTAGAGAACTAGAAAGAAGAAAGACACTCAGAATTTCCCCAGTGTCTGGCTTAGGTAACTAAAGGGATGGTGACATAGTCACCAAAATAGGAAACGCACTAGGAGGCATACATTTGCTGGGTGGGTATAACAACCCTAGGTATGCAAATGCTGAGTTTGAATTGACTATGGGACACTGAGGTGAAGATGTGCAGCAGAAACTGAATACACAGATCTGACACTCAGAAGTCTGAACTAGAGATAGAAATTCAGGAGTCACCAGTGGGTGAGCAGCAGATGGCATGGATAAAATGCACCAAACAGAAGAGGTAAGAAGCGTGTCATGGAAGAGGACCTGGGCAGACAGTCAACAGAGGACTCACCAGCCTATACAAGCACATGGCATGCTACCACACTGAGTCAGGCAAGATGGAATCGTGAAGTCTAGACATTGTTCCACAGCATAGCTACGCCGGATACAAAAAAGACTCAGTTACAGAAGTATAATTCTGTGTTTGAAATGTTAGTTAATATATACAAACATATTCCAATATAGTCTAGAAGTATATATTCCAAGATATGTACAGTGGTTATCTTCAAGTTATCTCTGAAAATAAAAGCAATTTTTATTTTCTTTATGCTTTTCCATATTCTCCAAGTTGTCTACAATGTACATGCATTACTTTTGAAATCAAATGTGTAAAGATTTTTAACTGCTTTTTAAAGATCTAAAAGTTTGTAACAGGAGTCTAAATGATCAGGAAAAATTATCTTTTGCCCAACTACGTCAAGCTCTAAGCAGGTATTAGAAGTAGGAGAAAGCAGAGGGACTGGACCCAGAAATTCAACCTGCTATAAATGGAAGAGACAAGACTAAGCTGGAAGTTCCCAATAAATGACATGGAACATGTGTGGGTTCTTGTATTTAAGTACAGCATAACCTCAGACACAGCAGAACAGAAAAAGACACAATTTTTAAAAAAATCTTAGAGACCCTCACTCCTCTCGCCCCGTGTGAACACACAAGCAACATAGAGCAATGGCAAAGGAAAGAAGAGAGGGAGATGTCAGCTCCTCCCAGCCCTCACAAGAACTGCTCTGCTGAATTCTAAATCAGATAAGACTAAGAGAAAAAATAAAGTGTCAAAAGCACTTCAAAGGTATCCCTTACAATAAGAGGTCAAAACACATCTCTTACACAGCAAGTCAGAAGAGTGGGAATTCAAACATAGGCCAAAACGTACTCTGATGATTTTAACTGAGTCAAATGAAATTAATAAAAGCAATGGGGAAAAATCAATCACATGCCAATTAAAAGACATCAGCTGGGATAAAACAGATAAGAAGGATAATGTAATGGTTCATTATATGTCAACTTGACCGGGCTATGGCACCCAGTTATTAATATTTGGTCAAACACAGGTGTGGAAGTTGCTGTGAAGGTATTTTTTAGATTTTATTAGCCTTTAAATCAGTAGGTTTTGAATAAAGCAGATTACCTTATATAACGTGGGTAGGCCTTATACAATCAATTTACGGCCTTAAAAGAGTTCAGTTTCCCAAGCAAAAAGAAATTCAGCCCCAAGACGAAAACAGAAACCCTGCCCGAGTTTCAAACCAGCCAGGCTGCCCTATGGACTTGACAGCCCCACAATCACATGAGCCAGTTCTTTAAAAAATAAACCCCTCTCCCTCTCTCTCTTTTCTCAAAAAGGTAAAATTTGCTAATAGACAACCGACAGGCAGAATCTTGAACTAGAGGCAATGGAATTGAAATTGGCCGAGGCAGGCAGCAATAAAACACCAAAGGTTCTTGAACAGAAGAATGAAACAATAAATAATACATTTAATGATGATTATTTTGGAATCAATTACACTGTATATATAAGATGAACCAGATCAGAGGGATACTAGAAGACATTTGAGGAAATCTAAGCCAAAGGATTTTGCAGGTGGCACTGGAAATGAAAAGGAATTCATCCATATAATGAGAATATAACAAAAAATTTAGTAGGCACATTTTGTATTTTTAAGATCGTTTAGTAAAATTTCTATCAGAATACTATTCATATAGATATTTACTTACCATATTTGTCTCGCAAGCCAACAGTGCATCTAAAGACTCCACCAAAGGCAACATCTTCACCAAATATTACTGAAAAACATTATTTAAATAATGTTTTATTTAATAATCCCTAAATAATGCTAACAATGAGAAATAAGTAATTTAAATGATTGCATTTTAAATCACAAAAGAGAAATGGACCATAGATATAGATTGAGGTTTCTCAACTTCTACATTATTGACATTTTAGACCAGACGATTCTTTTGTTGTGAGGGCCTGTCCTATGCACTGTAGATATATAGCAGCATCTCTGGTCTCTACCCACTGGACGACAGTTACCACACACACACACACACACACACACACACACACACACACACAGGGTTGAGACAACCAAAAGTGCCTTCGCTTACATTGTTAAACGTAAAGACAGTTGTGGGAGTAGGGGCTAAGATCACCCCAGCTGAGAAAGAATCACTAATCTAGAATCTCATTTGTTTTATCCATGAAGAAAATGAGACCAGAGAAGTAGTAAAGTGACCAACTCAGAAAGCTAGAGGCAGAAATCATGCTCCAGACTTCCAGGCCAGTGGTTTTTCCTGAGACATAGGATACAGTAAGTCAGCCATCAGAACATTCTAAGCTAAGGGAACAGTCACAAATAGAAAAGGGATTTAGTGTGTGAAGCAGAAAGGAGGCAAACATGATGGAATACAGTGAGCAAGGCAAAGAACGGTGTGAGTGGAAATTGGCAGGAGCTTTAAAATAGAGAGTATTCACAGAGCTGAGTACTAGTCTCAAAATGCACCTAATCAGCTTTTTGGACCTCAAGAAAAAACTCACCCTTCTCTGTGTTTGAATTTACTCATCTAGTTCAATCATTCTCAGGTAGCATTCAGAACAAATCAAGAGCTAATCATTCTTCAGTCCAGCTCTCAGTTCTCCCTAAAAAACATCTGTTTTTCATTTAACCTTAAAACTACAGGTTTTCAAGTGGAAGCCCAATGTGTAGTAAACATACATACACACATTTATATACTGTATGTACAGAAATAGACAGATGTTAAATATATGCATATGTATACACACATACATATATTTACTTCAATATACAAAATATATATATATTTATACAATATATGTATATGTGTATACATATACATATATTTACTTCAAATAAAAGTAAAGCCAATCAAAAATTTAGGAAACATACAATAGAAGAACAATTGGTTTTGCATAAATAATATGATGAAGATTAAGTTACTTATAAAATTATACATAAATATTATAATTTTTTCCAAAATACAATCTGAATGACAATGCATCCCAAAGGGAGGCATAAAATCAAGTCTTCATTTTAGAAATAAATAGCTGAATCAAAAAGTATTTTGTTTTTTCTATATGCCAAAGAAACAGAAGTACATAGTAGGTTTTAATCCAGAAGTTACAAATATAATATCAGGACCACACATACTGTAAGAGGAAGCTGATTTGGTGTTAGATATACATGAGAACTAACTGGCAATAAGCGGACTAATGTTGTAATTCGATTATTTAGCCCTAATCATTTGGGCAGGACTTTGAAAACTTCAGGTAGATTCAATGTTAACCATTGAGCGCCACACAAATATTTCAAGCAAAGCTTCAATTCTGGAATTAACACAGCTACAACAATTCAAACACAAATCAGGGTTACCTGCAGTAGGATCTTTGGCCAGTGAGTTATCCAAGGCACTTGTTATTGACTGGAAAAGATTCATTTTCTGAGTTTGCCCTGTAAAAATCAAAAAAAAATTTCATACATTGTAAAATATATAAAAACAACCAGTTTCTTAACAGTTGATTACAACTTGACTAAAATCAACATACAAAGAAAGGCATTATGCAAATTACTGAATTATTATAAGATAGAAAAGCAATACAGACCTGGAGAAGCTTGTTAATGGAGCAAAATGTACTCATATTAAATAATTTTTTGTAATAATATAAAAAAGGAAGAAAGAATATAACCAAGTGACTTAATGTGTATAGACAGTAAGACCTATGGGAAGTCGGAAAAGAGGACCAGTCAAAGTGAGTGGTCTTGGAAGACACTACAGACAGGCGTTAGGAACCAAGTCATAAGGAATACGCATGACCAGTGGCTTGTGTTAAATATGTTTTCAAAAGCAAATTGTCATGGACCGCAAAACAATAAGGAAAGCTAAAGATAAACGTTAGTACCCAGAACTGCTGGAGTTTGGAAAATACCATAATCTTATACCTAACCACATCATATTTAGTCCTTCTTATTGTCTTATTACTTAAATAGATTATCTGCGAGCCAGTGCCCATCCCCTAAATGGATTTTTTGGAAGGAATAAATGAAGCAGTAAATGTAATACACTCAGAACAGTACCTGACACAGTGAGTGCTGAATAAATATTAGCTATTTATTGTTAGATTCTGGACTCTGTCCATGTCCTTCCATCTTGACCTTGGTACTCTTCTGAATGGTATAGAAAATCTTCATTTGATAAAGTTATAAATGTTGGAATTCAGAAACATCATTACACTGGAGCTTTGATTCAAGCCTAGGTGCCACCCAGTGCCCACAGTCAACACAGAACTTTAGGTCAACTCCTCTGCAAAAGTACAACTCAGAGCACAGAAAGCCTTCGGCCTAAATCTCCTCATATCCAGAGGCCTACTCTTCATCCTTGTGCCTGATCTATACACTGGTGGTTGCCTTAACCCACGGCATGCTGATAACAAATCTTTTAAATACCTACTGCTTACCCTGATCACTGCCCCACCTAACCTCCACGCTATTCAGTAGCCTAGTATGTCCCAACAGTCAAGGTGTAACTCCAAGTGTGGGTTATAACAGCTACTGCTACTGCCTTCAACTGTCTGACCATGGGACACTGGTCACTCGTCCTTTTCCTGGAAACGTATATTCTTCCCTAGCCAGGCATTGCTCCACAGCAGATTCTGAAATATGACATCTTTCTTCCTGTTATCCACTGATACCCCAGCCTTCTGATGTTCTACCTGCTCTGGCATCTAATGTCTCCCTGATCCTTTCAACAGTACTGGATGCCCAGGCTTCAGGTTATGGCAATCCCCAGTCAGATATGTCCTCTGTCCTCTGTGCCCACAATCAGAGCCTGTTTCTACTCTTCTATTTGGTGGAGACAATAGGAATTTATTCAAAAATTATTTTATATCACCTATGGCAAAAGATATATAATTATACCACAGGTCTAATCATACCACATGGCTAAGGCTATGCCACTTAATAGATACAGGCATATCTTATCTTATTGTGCTTCACTTTATTTTGCTCCACAAATATAGCAATTTTTACAAATTGAAAGTCTGTAGCAACACTGTATCAAGCAAGTCTATCAGCATCATTTTTCTAACAGCATGTGCTCACTTTGTGCCTTCATGTTTTGGTAATTCTCATAAAATTTTGAACTTTTGCATTACTATTACATCTGCTATCATGATCTGTGATCAATAATCTTTGAGATTACTGGTATAATTACCTTGGGGTACCACAGCCTTCTGACATTCTGCCATGGCACCCCAAGAAAATTACATTAGTAACCTCAATAAATGTTACATGTGTTCTCACTGATCCACTGACCAGTCATTCCCCTTTCTCTCTCCCTTTCCTCAGTCCATTCCTTGAGACATAATATGAAAATTAGGCCAATCAAGAATTCTACAGTGACCTCTACGTTTTCAAGTAAAAGGAAGAGCCGCATATCTCACACTTTATAAGTTAAAAATGACTAAGCTTAGCACAGAAGGCATGACGAAAGTCCAGAGAATCTGAAAGCTAGGCTTCTTGCGCCTAACAGCCTAGTTGTGAATGCAAAGGAAAAGCTACTGAAGAAAATTTAAAGTGTTACTTCAGTGAGCACACAAATGATAAAGCAAAATAGCCTTATTGCTGATATGAAGAAAATTTTAGTAGTCTGGATAGAAAATCAAATCAGACACAATATTCTCTTAAGCCAAAGCCTAACCTAGAACAAGGCCCTAACTCTTTTCAATGCTATGAAAGCTGACAGAGGTGAGGAAGCTGCAGAAGAAAAATCTAAAGCTAGCAGAACTTGGTTCATGAGGTTTAAGAAAAGAAGCCATCACAGTGCATAAAACTGCAAATTGAAGTATAAAGTGCTGACGGAGAAGCTGCAGCAAGTTATCCAGATCTCACTAAGATCATTAATGAAGGTGGCTATACAAAACAACAGATTTTTAACAGAGACAAAACAGCTTTCCATTGGAAGAGGCTATCTTGGGATTTTCATAGCTAAAGAGAAGAAGTCAATGCCTGGCTTCAAAGGACACGTGGACTCCTTTGTGAGGGGCTCATGTAGCTGGTGATTTGAAGTTGAAGCCAATGTTCATTTACTATTCTGAAAATCCTAGCACCCTTGAGAATTATGCTAAATCCACTCTGCTTGCTCTCTTTCAATGAAAACAACAAAGCTTGAATGATAGCACATTTACATCAGGATTTCCTGAATATTTTAAGTCGACTATTGAAATCTACTGCTCAGGAAAAAAACAAAACAAAAAAAAAACAGATTCCTTTCAAAATATTACTGCTCATTGACAATGCACCTGGTCACCCACGAGCTCTCACAGAGATGTATAAGATTAACATCGATTTCATGCCTGCTAATACATAAATTCTGTGGCTCGCAGATCAAGGAGTAATTTCTACTTTCAACTCCTATTATTTAAGAAATACATTTTATAAAGCTATATTTGCCATGAATAATGACTCCTCTGATGGATCTGGGCAAAGTAAATTGAAAATCTTCTGGAAAGGACTAACTATTCTAGATGCCATTTAGAATGTTCATGATTCATGAAATGTCAAAATGTCAACACTGGCCGGGTTTGGTGGCTCACATTTGTAATCCCAGAGCTTTGCGAAGCCAAGGAGGATGGATCACTTGAGGCCAGGAGTTCAAAACCAGTCTAGCCAACATGGTGAAATCCCATCCTCTACCAAAAATACAAAAAAATTAGCTGGGTGTGGTGGTGCACACCTGTAAACCCTGCTACTCAGGAGGCTAAGGCACAAGAATCATTTAAACCCAGGAGGTGGAGGTTGCGGTGAGCCAAGATCACACCACTGCACTCCAGCCTAGGTGATAGATTGAGATTCTATCTCAAAAAACAGTAAAAAAGAAGTTAGCGTTTATAGGAATTTGAAATAAATTGATAAATTGATTCCAACTCTCATGGATGACTTTACTTACTTATTTATTTATTTATTTTTTTTTTTTTTTTTTAATTTTTTTTTTTTTTTTAGACGGAGTTTTACTCATGTTACCCAGGCTGGAGTGCAATGGCGCGATCTCGGCTCACCGCAACCTCCGCCTCCTGGGTTCAGGCAATTCTCCTGCCTCAGCCTCCTGAGTAGCTGGTATTACAGGCACGCGCCACCATGCCCAGCTAATTTTTTGTAGTTTTGGTAGAGACGGGGTTTCACCATGTTGACCAGGATGGTCTCGATCTCTCGACCTTGTGATCCACCCGCCTCGGCCTCCCAAAGTGCTGGGATTACAGGCTTGAGCCACCGCGCCCGGCCTACTTATTTATTTTCATTTATTTTTTTCAACCTCCACCTCCCGGGTTTAACCAATTCTCATGCCACAGCCACCCCAGGGATTACAAGCGTGCACTACCATGCCTGCTATTTTTTTTTTTTTTTTTTTTTTTTAGTAGAGACCAGGTCTCACCATGTTGCCCAGGCTGGTCTCAAACTCCTGAGCTCAGATGATCCACCAGCCTTGGCCTCCCAAAGTGGTAGGATTACAGGCATGAGCCATTGTGCCCAGCCTCATGGATAACTTTGAAGAGTTCAAAACTTGAGAGGAGAATGTAACTGCAGACATGGTAGAAATAGCAAGAGAACTAGAAGTGCAGCCTGAAGATGTGACTTAATTGCTACAATCTCATGATAAAACTTTAATGGGTGAGGAGTTGCTCTTTATGGATGCAACCTGAAGAATTCAAAGCAAGTGAATTCTTGAGATGGAATCTACTGCTTTCTATAAATCCAAAGAAAGTGTATTCTTGAGATGGAATCTATTGCTGATGAAGATGCCATGAACACTGTTGAAATGACAATAAAAGACTTAGAATATTACATAAACTTGGGAGTACTGATTCCAATTCTGAAAAAAGTTCTACTGTGGTAAAATGCTATCAAACAGCATCACATCCTACAGAGAAATCTGTCATGAAAGGAAGAGTCTATCAATGCAGCAAACTTCATTGTTGTCTTTTTTTTTTTTTTTTTTTTTTTTAAAAGAAGTTGTCACAGCCACCAAACCTTCAGCAATCACTACCCTGATCAGTCAGTAGCTATCAACATCAAGGCAAGGCCCTCCATCAGCAAAACATTATGACTTGCCAAAGGTTCAGATGATTGTTAGCAATTTTTAGCAACAAAATATTTCTTAATTACGGTATGTACATTGATCTTTTAGACATAATGCTATTGCACACTGACTACAGTACAGTGTGAACAAAATGTTTATATGCACTGGGAAACCAAAAAATATTGTGTGACTCACTTTACTGTAATATTCACTATATTGCAATATTCATTTTATTGCAGTGGTCTGAAATCAAACCCACAATATCTCCGAGTTATGCCTGTACTTTCCTTAAATCCTTCTCCATTTCATAAATATTCTTAAAGTATTTATTGGTGCCCAGCTTCAGAAGATAATTATTTTGGGTAAACATTTTTCCCAA